ATTACTTCCTTGCCGACAGGTGTTGATGGTTCTGCCGCACCTTTAGTGAGTCAGCCCGGTTTTGTTTCAGCTCGGGAAACCGTGACGCAAGAGAATACGGCAGGATCGGGTGGATATACAATGGTGGATAGTGTTCCGTATCGGTGGAAAATGACAGCTGGAAAGTTGGAATTAGAAAAGGTTCCACTCACAGCTTTTACGCCTGGTATGGGACATGGACTGCCGCAAAGGCCTGGTGGTAGTGTCAGTTTACCGCCTGGAGCAGTGGTGCCACGAGGTATGCCAACAATTGGTGATAGTTCTGGAACCGAACGTCCGGAGGCTCTTGGGAAGCATGTGATGAGCCTTCCTACTTTGGCAGACTACACACCAAGCAATCCGACGGCACTGGGAGATTGGATCGCAATGATCGAACCAATGTTGTCTTCGCTGACAGATACAGGAAGGGTGTGGTGGCAATGCGTCTATTCAAAGGCGTATCAGGCGTATGCCAAATGGTTGAGTGTTTCTCCGCTGGAAAGGTTGGCATCAAGGCTGAGCTGGAAGGGCTCAAGGTGGTTCAAACTGCGCACGTTTTGTTGGAGCAGAGGGCAGTGTCGTTGCTGCTGCAGGCGATTCCGGAGAGATTGAAGACCGAGATCGTTTCCACTCGAATGTTGGGTTCAGTGATGATATTTTACAAATTGCTGACGGTTTACCAACCTGGTGGAGCAAATGAGCGCAGCACAATGTTGAACTTCTTGGTGCAACCATCTTCGGCAACCTCGATCTCAGAGGCCATTAAGGGAGTGCGTCAATGGGCGCAATGGCGTTCCCGATTAAGGGAGTTGCGAGCGGCCGAGCCGGACGCTACCTTGCTTATCAAGGGATTGGATGCTTTATCATCCGCGTTGCTGGCAAAACACCCTACGGTTCATTTCAGAGTGGCATCCTTTCGGGAGAAATTGGGGGTGGACTACTCGCCGACCTCCGACACAACTAGCTGAAATGTTACAGGCAGAGTTTGAACTGCTATTGAATCTGCTATTGCATAGCGCTGGTGATCAAGAGGTGAAGCAGGACTCGGACGCCAAGAAAAGGGCAAGGTTAAACAAGGCCCAAAAGGGAACTGGTGACGAGACAGAGGAGGGTGACAAAGGCAAAGGGAAAGGAAAAAGGTACAGCAGTGATGGTGAACGTCCATTCCGTTGGATATATGGAAAGACAGAAGCAGGCTGCAAGTTCGGGTCACGCTGCAAGTTTCGCCATGACAAGGACTCCCTGGAGTGTGGAAGATGTTTCGAATGTGGGGCCGTTGGCCATTTACAGCCGCAGTGTCCATACAAAGATGGTGCAAGTCCCAATGTGGACTCAAATTCCGAAAGGAATAAATCTAAAGGAAATTCTCCCAAGGGGGGAAAGGGCGGCAAAGGTGCGAAATGGGGGAATGCCAAAAAGGCAGAAGTGGCTGAAGGGGGAGATGAGGCGGCTAATGCGGGATTGGAGAAAGGTTCTGCAAGTCCCTCATCACCATCAACGCCCAATCAGGTCCTTGCTGAAGCGTTAGAGGTGCTGAAATCTATGAAACTGTCATCAGCGCAGTCAGCATCAAGCGGGGATCCCAGTGTTCGGATGTTATGTTGTTCTGGGGTTTTTCAGCAGGAAAGGAGAGTGGCGTTGGTGGACACAGCTGCTACGCATCTTGTGCGGACGCTTTTTCAATGGGAATGTTTACCCGACACTACTGTTACGGTGCAAAGCGCGCTTGGCGGTGTGATAATGAGGATTACAGAGAAAGGGACTCTGATTAGGGAAGACAATGGGCCTCTGATTATCCCTCTCTGGTTGATCTTGGAGTTTGGGGCGAACCTCACGGTGATCAATGGGATGTGTCACGTGGGTGCAAAATCTTCGCTGGACCAGCTCTTGTGGTTTGAACATGGCTGTTTGGTTGTGGATTACAAAACAGCTGAAAAGATGGTTTTGCATGCTGAAAGACAGTGTGCGTCTTGGTCCCATTCTCAATGGAGGAATGGAAGGGCGGACTGTGGAGTCGGTTCGTCTGATGCCACGTTGTTGCCGAAGCAGGGAGAAGGCCGAGGAGTATGCGTCCTACGTGTGGCCAGGGTTTCTGACACCAATGAGTGTTCGGGAATGGGCATGTTGGACTCGGGAGCATCACATCCTCTCAGATCACTTCGTCCTGGTGAACAGCTTCCGCAGCAAAAGGTGTTGGTGTCTTTAGCTGTTGGATCTCGGGAGATGTGTATTACCCGAGGTGGGACCCTGGTAACTCCTGAAATGGTAGATCCACTAGTGCCAATTGGCAAAGCGAGCGCCTTGGTTGGTCTCAGAGTGCAGCGGCGTGGTGGCAAGTGCACAGCCTCACATCCTGTTCTGGGGGAACTTCGCGTTCGAGATCTGAATGGGTGCCCTTGTTTAGAAAAGGTGGTTTCGCTTCAGATCATTGATGAAATGGATTGGTGCTCACCAAAGCAAGCATTAAAAGGGGACATCACCAAACAGAGCCCTACCCGGACCCCGACCCCCACCCCGGGAAGGCGACAAGGTCGAAGACCATAACAGCCCGGCAGACAGAACGAACTTCTGTTGTCTTTCCACGAGATGCGACAGTGAGCGGTGCAAGCGGGGAAACATTTGAACACAGCTTCAGTGAAGCGAGCCTCTGCACGCATGCACTGCACGCAGCTCAAGGACGCGAAGCATCAAGAGATCCCCCTAGCTCCGAAGAGCCCCCCCATCCGGGTGCACTTTGGACATGTACACAGTGCATCCTCAAATATTGAAGAAGGGTGGGAGGGCTGGGATTTCGAATATATTTGAGCAGCGAAGCACTTCAGCATGCAAGAACAGCATACTGAAAAGAATAGGAAGAAAAACACGCATGCTCAAAACAAATCATGAAGACAGGTGCTGCCCCAGACATTTGTGGCACACGTGGAGAAACTTGCACGCCCTTCCAGCTGGACAGGCCTTGGCCTTCTGGAACTTAAAGCAAATGAGCTTGCCGTCGGGTGTCTTGGTGTGGAAGCGTGTCTTGTTTTTCTTGAGGACTGCAGGAAGGGTTTTGTCCCTTCCCTTTCCGGAACCCTTTGCACCTCCAGCCCCTTGCCCGATTGCTTGCTGCCACTGCGGTGCCTCACGCCCACTGAGGTTCAATGTAAAAGGAATGACCAGGTGATTGTTGAGAACGTCAGCGCGCCCCTTGATGTACGTCAAAGCAGCATCGAAGTCAGTTGCCTCGCCGTCCCTGATGGCCTTGTACAGCTTCGAACGTGCCTCCTTTTCGAAAGAAAGCACCAATTCCCAGCTTGGTCGTCGGTTGTCTGCTGTCTGCAAACCTGCAACTTGCCCTCCCAGGATCCAATCGGAGAATTTGCGAAAGCAATCCGTGATGTGGCCCCTCAACCAGGTCCTGTGATGGTGCCTTGTAGCAACATATTCCCAACTAAGCCCAATGCGCCTGTGTCTCAAGCGTAGCTCTTCTGCATTCTTGGGGAGTGCAACGGACTGTTTTCCAGAACGCACCTTCAAAATGCCCTGACCAGGATCGATGGTGGCTGTGAAGGCCTCTGTTTCCTGGTCATCCATTGAAGTGCACTCTCTAAGATCTTCGAGCATGGGAAGGTTCTCCTCAGTCTGCTCAAGTCTCATAGCAATGAGCTGTTTGCTTGGTGCCTCAGCATCACGAATGTCACCCAGCTTAGCTTCCACTGCTGCCCTCATCGCATGAATTTCGGCTGTCGGAACCAACCTAGGCTGATGAGAAGTCTTGCTCTCCAGCTTCTGGCGTTCCGCGAGTTGAATCTGTGTGCGAGACGACTCCCACGCAGACAAGAGCAGCGCCAGTGTCTTCCTGGTACCAGCATCGCCTGGTGACAACGACAACTCATCTGCGAAAGCTTGTCTCGCATCCACTCGAGTCTCCTCTATCCCTGCGAAGACCCGCAGAGTGTCAAAACCCTTTTTGAACAAGGCAGCCTGAACAGTGTCAGGAACTCCGGCTTCAGTCAAGTGAAAACGAAGATCAGATGCACCCTTCTCTAGACCTTCGGGCGGCCCTCCCGCCCCAGCAGCCCCCTCGCCCGCCATCCGGCCAGCTCAGGCCACTCACGAGAGACATTCCTGAGCCAACCCTGCCAAGCAATCCTGCCAGTGAATAAATGGGCCTGTGACCACGAATGCAAACCTCTGCATTCGCTAAGACCCTTCTCTACGTGCAGGCACTGCAGAAATATCACAAAAGTGTAAAAATATCTCTCACGACATCAGCAAAAACGTGATGCGCGCGCGCGCATCATGGCACCTGCGATGTTTGCTCCGTTCCTACGCCTACACACTCAGCGCACCGAACAAAAGACAAGACACGCACACCGTTTTGGAAAACATCAGCTCGAGGACTCGCTGCTCCCTTCGGACACCAGGCTTGTGCTCGAAGATCCAGAGTCAGATGACTCCATTGATGCCTGTACACCCTTCGGCCAGCAGTGCCTGCAAGCCATATCATAGTGAGCACCGTCCAATGAATGCAGTTCCTCGACTTGTCTGACGTTGCGTCTGGAAGTGCCGCAACCCCCAACACGGTGGCCAGCCTCGAATCTTCCACATCATCCGGACTCTCTTCCTGAGAGTCGATGACCTGGACGTGCCCATGGTCGCCATGAGGGTCTTCATCGGATCTTCTGTCCTTCGGACCACTCTTATGGCCGGCATATCCATGTCCAACAAGAGTTTGGCTGCCTCCCGCCGCCACCTCTTGAGCTCTGCTAGTTCAAGATCTCGCCTCTGTGTCTCGCCCTCTGCCAAGTGCATCCGCTTCAAGAATCTGCTTTTGAACTTGTCAGATGTCAGCATGGCCCCCGAGCGCTTGACCAAGAAATCTTCATCCCAAATCCGGTGATCCCTTGCCATCGCGCTCGAAGCCCTCTGCTTCTGCTCAGCAGGAGCAACCAAGCATCTGCGCTTTGCTTGCCTAGCATCAGCTCCCCGCGCTCGTGCCCCTAAGACTTCAAGCTGCTCCACGGCGTGCAGGTGTAGTAGAGATCCTCGGGGAGCCACGAAATGCGCAACGAAATCGGAAAGATCATCATCATCTTCCCACAGATTGCCCAGTAAAGCGTCTGAAGGTAAAGCGCCCCCAGGAGCACCAAATTGTCATTTGAAGCTCTCCGGCAATGAGTCCCACAATTCGAAGGAAGAGGGCTCCGAGCCATCTTTGGAAGGCGAGTGCGGCATTCCAACCTCAGAAGAATGAGAAAGCAAACGACTGTGCCAAACAGCGCCAGGTTCTTCGTCCGATAAGCCACAGTCCCCACCATCAGACCAATCTGGGCCCCCAAAATCAGGCCTTTCCTCTTTCACGTGCAGCCACTCCTCCCCACGCGAAGCCATCGGGAAAGCAGAATGGCCCTCAAACAGCACAGAGGCGGTTGAGAACTCCACGGAAGACCTGGCCAACATAGAAAGTCAACTGATGCAAGCCAGATGCCAGGTACGCTAGCCGAGAGCTCGCCTGCTCCAAATCGTGTTCTTGTGAAGCTAAGCGCTCCTGCGCGCCGTGAAGACCCTGTTCCAGATCCGCCACTCGCACTGTGAGCTGCGCCAACTGTTCGCTTAACTGAACAATCCGCAAATGATTGGCATGCACTCTATGACCGACGATGCTCAGGGTGTCAGTGCTGTCGGAGGAAACCGAGGACGCAGGGAGGCTGTGCACTGACGGATGAGCTTCTTCAGGCTCGGAGGCCATGCAAGTTTGTGCTCAGCTACAAACTTAGAACGCTGAGACCTGGGGCCCCAAAGACGTGAGCTAGGGAGTCAGCCGGGGATTACCTCACCTTCTACACCGCCGAGGACTACCCCCTGGATTTCACGTCAACAGGGATCGACACCCAAAGACGGCTCGCCGAGCTTGGCACTCCCCCCGACTGACTCGTACGGCCCCAAGGCTTATTTCGAAAATATTTGAGCAGCGAAGCACTTCAGCATGCAAGAACAGCATACTGAAAAGAATAGGAAGAAAAACACGCACGCTCAAAACAAATCATGAAGACAGGAGAAAAACCCGCGGCGCACGCTGCGGGTATCCAAACAATATTGAATACTGCTTTAGGGCACACTCTCAAGAAAAGCTCCCCAAGGAAGAAGCAGCCTGCATAATTAACAGAGACATGAAATGTCCGCGAGCGGAAGTATTCCAACCCTAGGCCCAAGGCCAAAGTGGGCATGAGAAGAGACCTGCCCACCCCCAAGGGACCTGAAGTCCCTCTAAGATGTACGCGAGCGTCCACCGCGCTGGCACGTATGGTTCAAGGGTGTCCGAATACGGACAATGAAGTGGCCGTAAAAGCGTTGTTGCAAAGCGCAGCGCGGACAGCGTCAGCGAACGAGGAGGAGTTCGTCCAGGCTTGTTGGCGATTTCTTCGGTGGTATTATGAGGATATACCAGAAAATATGCTGATGGAGCTGTTGCCACGTGGGGATATTGCGGCGTTGCCTTTCAACCGTCATAAAAGGCGACGGCTGGCACGAGCAAAAAGGGTGGTGGTACACCTATTTTCGGGAAAACAAAAATGGCATTTTCCCAGTCGGGACGTGGAGGTACTGGAGCTGGATTTGAAGAAAGGCGGTGACCTACACAATTCGAGCGTCTGGAAGTATCTTCTGCATCTGGCGGCTGAAGGAAAGGTGGTTGCTGTGGTTGGAGGACCTCCATGCAGGACAGTGTCAAGGTTGAGGGGTGAAGACGGTGGTCCACCTGTATTACGCCGGCGCTGTGGGCCTGAACGGTTGGGATTAAAGAGTCTTCCTTGGCCACATCAAGAATTAGCTCAAAAGGATGGTGTTTTACTTCTGAAGATGCTTTTCCTATATGACGCGGCGGTGCATTCGAGGTGTGGAACTGCTGGTGTCATCAATGGAGGCTCTGTCTTCTTTGGCATGGAAAGTCCTGGGGACCCTGAGCTCATAGGGAAAGATTTTTCTCAGAACTACAAAACGGTCTTGAGTGCTGAGGATCTGGTGGATGGTTCTCAGAAAGGGTTCTCAAGTCCTACCTTCTGGAGTTGGCCAGAGGTAAAAAGTTTTTGCGAGCGTTATGGAATGTACGCTGCACATTTTGATCAAGGAGCATTGGGACATGCTCTGGTGAAGCCTACGACTTTCCTGGTGTCTGATATAGAACTATGGGAATCGTTGGAGCAGGTTCGCGTGGTTGTTCCGTGGTCAGCAACATTCGCTTCTACCCTGGAAGAGCGTATTGGACAATCCTCCACATGGGCGCGATGGGCGTTTGGATTGGTAAAAAGAATACGTCACAGGTTGGCACAATGGTTGCAGGAGAGCGATGCTGAACGGGAAACTGTATTGACAAAAAAGGAAGAACGAGAAGGAACGTTACGGAGATTAACAGCTGAAGAGCGAGCTTTCCGTGATCATTGCCTAAGGGGGCATATTCCTTTCAAACGTGATTGTCAAATTTGTGTGTCTGCCGCTGGAAAAGAGCGTCGCCATTTAAGGCGGAAGCATGGGGATGCTTACACTTTATCGTTGGACTTGGCGGGTCCGTACAAGTGTTCCAAGGATGCTCACCAGCAGAAGCCACGACACGCTGTTATTGGTGTTTATCAATTTCCAATGTTGGATCCCAATGTGGGCCGCCCTCCAGAAAAGGAGGAAGATGCGGACGAGGTGGAAGATCAGGTGGGAGATGAAGGTGCTGGTGTCGGAGAATGGCTGGGTGATGCAGTCGCTAACTTCGAGGAGGAGGACTCTGCGCCAGTGGAACCTGCGCCAGTTCTGGAGGCAGAGGTGTTAAAAATCCAAGCTTCTGAAAAATCCTGGAAGGAACTGAAGGACCACTTGACCCAGCCTGTTCGTATGATCAACTTCGTTATGGTGGAGCCGATTGTGGACAAACAACAGACAACTGTTCTATCGGCTGTTCAAAGGATGATGGTGCGCCTTGGGTATCCGGTGTTGAGAATCCATTCAGATCGAGCGGGGGAGTTTGTCAATGCACGCTTCCGGTCCTTTTGTGAAACTCGTCTGATATATAGAACCACTGGTGACCCTGGAGTCCCACAAACGAATGGGCGCGCTGAAGCATGTGTGGGTTTATTCAAACGTGGTGTAAGGTCGCTCTTAAAGGAGGCGCGACTCGGGCCGGCGTACTGGGCACTTGCTGCTCGCCATTGGTCAATGTTACGGTGGCATAAAGCTGAAAGGGAGTTAGGGTTAAACCCGAAGGCATTGCTTCCCTTTGGTGCTCAGACGCAAGTCAAATGTCGTCCGTGGGAGTTGCTGGGTCCGGATGGAACAAAGAAAGGTCGGCAATGGGTCGATCGTACACAGCCCGCGCTTCTGTTGGGTCCATGTGATGACCTACCTGGTGGTTATTGGGTGGAAGCTCAAGGGACCGCAAAAGATCCGGATGAACTGGTGTTATTTCCCTGCACTACAATTTTTTCCAATATAAAGGAACCGCCAGAATTGGAGTTGAGAAGAACAGGAGCCTTCTCCTCCAGAGCATCGTCTCAAAGGGAAAAAACCAGCGCTTCGTTTCGCTGATGAGGAGCCCTCCATTACCTCCGCCTCGCGATCCTCCAGTTCGCCATCGGTTAATGTCAAAAAGCCCGGCCTCTTCACTGCGTGGTCATGTGGGCTCCTTGCGCTCGCTTCGCAAGCGGGGGGAGAGTCCGCCCTTAGAAATTTTTGAGGATGACATGCAGGGTCTGGGGGAGCTGGAAGAAAATGCAGATATTGAGGACAATGTTCCTGGTGATGAGTATTGGCCGACTTGTTGTTCTCCTCATGAAGATGCTTATTTGGTCTGCAAAAGGGAGACTGCAGAGGATGGAACACAGTTGGAAAAAGAAGAACAAAAAGCCAAATCGATGTATGAAAGGTCTATGTACGATTATGTGGACTGTGAAGAGCTTTTGGAAGGGATTGTATACCCAAAGAGGGTGAACCGAAGAGGTGGTATTAACAATTGGTGCACACGTACGCGAGCTCTGGTGTTGGGCCACTATACTCATGGTGGAGTGTGTGGTATTACAAAAGAGACTTATCGGAGGCCATGGCTATGTCGATACCTGGCATCATTTGTGAAGCACCACAATCCTGAAGCCAATTTTTCTGCTCTTCAGATCTCGTGCAATGCTCCGGTGTCATTGCATAGAGATAGTCACAATGAGAAGCATTGCTGCAATTATGTGTGTGGCTTTGGGGACTATAAGGATGGTCAGCTGTGGGTTGAGGATGAGAAGGTTTTAGAGGAAGGAGCTGAAGTGGTGGAGCAATCCTATGGGAAGAAAGTCTTGCCTGGAAAATTGGTCAATATCCACTGGAACTTCATGTCGTTCTTTCCGAGAAAATTGCATGGACCTATGCCTTGGAAAGGGAACAGGGTATCTTTGACAGGGTACACACCTGTTTTTATGGAGCGTTTGAGCTACAAGGATAGGTGCTATCTTCTCCAATGTAAGTTTCCTCTTCCGGAACCACAAGCTGTTAAAAATGACGTTGAAAGAGACCTCGCTGGACGACATGGCGGAGGAAGTCGACTATGCTGTTTTTGAGGCGCAACAATGGGCTCTAGAGGAGCATTTGAGTATTCGACGCCTAATTGCTGAACAGGAAGGTTGCGTTTTGGACGAGTTCCATGAATCGGCCAATGAGTCGAATGGAGAAAAAGGATCAGAGACTAGAGAATGGCTGGTTAAAGCAAAAAGAACAGAGGAACAGCTCTCGAAGTTTTTGGTCAAAGCAGCTCAAGTTCAGCAAATGGTGCAAGAAAATATAGCGCTTGAGGCAGCAGAGGAGGTTGAGCTCCTGCAAACAAAAACAATTCCTACACAAGAAGCCACGCAAGAGCTGGAAAAGTGGAGGGAATCATTGTCGGACGAGGTGACGTCTTTGGTTAAAGAGTTGGAGGTGGTGGAACCAACAACTCAAGAAAAGCTGGACAAATTGGCGGAAGAACCTAATGCCCCCCGTAAAGCGCCCACACACGCCCTTACACCCAAAGTTTTGAATTGGTACTTAATGAAATTCCAATTGATTATTTTCATTAAAACTTAATTACATTAAAGAAGACCCCAAACAGTCAAAGGCGTGTCCAAGAAACAGTGGAGACGACGGGAGACAAAGGGAGACGAAGGGGACAAAGGGAGACAAAGGGAGGCGAGGAGCACAGACAGCAACCCGGCAAAGCCACCCAACATGAAGGGAGACAAAGGAAGACAAAGGGAGACAAAGGGAGACAAAGGGAGACAAAGGGAGACAAAGGGAGACAAAAGGAGACAAAGGGAGATAA